TATATTAGCATTTCATATTTGAAAATGACTTTAGAGATATGTAGACAGATCGTCGATTTGAACGCAAAGCCTTTACTTTACACATAGTTTTGATATATCAATGTTACTATGTTTAATAAACCTATTTACCACATGAGATGGATTTTTCGAAGTGCTAGTGAGATACAGTTGTAGCATTTTATTTCACCGTATTGTGTTGATATATGTAACAACTCATTGAACATTTTTGTTTAGTTGTACTGATGAAAACACTTTTTGCTCACTCGTTGACCAATGCAACATCCTGATATGGATTTCGCGTTAATTCCTGATATTTACACTGTCTGACGCAGGTGGGTCAGCAGTGTCGGGAATTATAAACAGGCGATAGTGTATCTGGACGTGTATGTAAATTTGGGGTCATATTTCAGAGCTTGACAAACTGGTGAGCCGGACTTGATCAAACTCTCGCAAGTTTTACTGGTGGATATTATTGTTGTTTTCATCTGAGTACTGCAAATGCAGTCATTAATAATTGTATGCAATATATATATATATATATATATATATATATATATATATATATATATATATATATACTGAGAATATCTTTAGCTGCTTTGTGGTAGGCATTAATTTACTTGTTGATTGTATTTTTTCTACTCTTGTTATTTTAAGTTCTTAAAATTGTTTTTGCTGCACCAGTACTGATATCCTTAAACTCTCATAATCAAGACTTTTCGAATGTAGAGTCCATGGGTGCTATTAATCTTCTTATGCCTTGTTTTAAGTTTAATGACCCGCAACTGTGTTTTTTCCGTCTAGAACATTTCTTCATGGCCAATCATATAACTTCACAAAATACAAAGTTCGTATACACAAGCTCTGTTTTGCCGGAAGAAGTGGCTGAACAAGTAAGGGAGACACTATTAAAGCCCCACCCAGACACACCTTATGATATTTTGAAGCAAGAAGTGCTGAAAGCTACTCTGTTATCTGACCACAAGGCTGTCGACCAACTACTAAGTAGCGTATGCCCAGGTGACAGAACACCTTTACAACTTAAGTGACATATGCAAAATCTGCTGAAAGATAGAAATGTAGACAACCGTTTATTCTACCAGCTCTGTCTGCGGAGACTTCCTTCACGTATTCACCAGATATTATCTGTTGCAGATGCGGACATTGACATTCACAGGTTGGCTGACATCGCTGACCTCATGTACTAAAGAATGCTTAAACAGGGTGAAAGTACTGCTGAGCCAACGCAAAACGACCAAGTAGCTGCTTTAGAGAGGAAGATCGACATACTTATAGGACAACTGACGGCTTTGCAGTTAAACCGAAGGTCACCTAAGTTCTATAGAAGCAGATCTCGCAGTCGTGATAAGACCACGAGTAGAATTACATCCAAAAGTAGCACATACTGTTATCACAAGAAGTTTGGCAGTAAAGCAAGTCGTTGTTTGTTACCATGCGATTTTAAATCTTTTCATCGGGAAACGAAAAGGCCGGCGATCAATGACGACTGCTGTCGCCGGCGTACAACAACACAGTCGTTTGTTCCGAGTGACGGATAGGAAGACCGGAGCGCAGTTTCTGGTTGACACCGGAGCAGAAATGAGCGTGATCCCACCCACGCCTTCCGAAAAACGCCATCCCAGCCCGACGTTGTTACTGCAAGAGGTAAATAGATCTGCTATTACTACATATGGAACCAGAATTTTGTTTTTAGACATTGGCTTTCACACACCATCCCAGTGGCAATTCATCATCGCTGACCTATCGTCGCCTATCATTGGCATGGATTTCCTTCAACACTACGAACTATTGGTCGACTCTAGTCGCCAAAGACTAGTTAGCCGTAATAGTGAATTTTCTCTCGCAGGCATCGTTACGGAGACAAAAACAATAAACCTAGTAGTAGCTCCAGTAAACAGCACTTCCGAGTGCGATATTCTTATGCGAGAATTTCCCGAGCTAACTCAAACGGATTACATAAAGTCCTCTCCAATACACACGGTGACGCACTATGTTCTTACAAAAGGTCCTCCAATCTCATCAAAACCTAGAACTTTAAACCCTAAGAAGCTGCAGACAGCAAAACAAGAATTCAATAAACTTCTAGAATTTGGAGTTATACGCCCTTTCAAGAGCCAATGGTCATCACCCCTGCATATGGTACCTAAAAAAGCATCAGGGGAAATACGGCCTAGCGGTGATTATTGAGCGTTGAATAAGCATACGGTCCCTGATAAGTATCCAATTCCTTACGTACATGACTTTATGAACTCCATGACAAAAGTAAATATTTTTTCCAAGATTGACCTCGTGCGAGCTTATTACCACATTCCTTTGGAACCTAATGATGTTTCTAAGACGGCCATCACTTACTCCTTCTAACCATTCAAATTTATTCGTATGCCGTTTGGTTTGACAAATGCTGCTCAAAAATTCCAAAGATTTATAGATCAGGTACTTCATGGAATGCTTTTCGTCAGTGCATGCATAGATGACGTAATAGTAGGTGGCGCATCTGAAACAGAGCACCTGCAACATCTGAGGACGCTTTTCGAACAACTGCGTGAATATAGCATTACAACCAATCCGCAGAAGTGCGAATTTGCAAAGAATCCCTACAGTTTTTGAGTCACATTGTTAATGCCAACGGTGTTAAGCCGGTTCCGCATGAAGTAGATGCAATTCGAGAATATCCTGTTCCAGACTCGATTAGAAAGCTGCAAAGATTTCTTGGGTTAATAAACTTCTATCGATGTTTCATACCTAAATGGGTTGAAGTAGCCCAACCGCTGACAGATTTATTGCAAGGACGAGCCAGAGTGTTTCACATGACCCAATCGGACCATGATTCTTTTGAGAAACTGAAGCTGGCTCTAAATTCTGAAACTCTTCTCCCTCGTCGTGATTCACAAGCACCACTAGCAATCATGACAGACGCTTCAAATGTTGCGGTAGGCGCAGTACTACAACAGTTTGTTCACGGTCAGTGGGAACCATTATCTTTCTTCTCGAAACGACTTAATGCTTCTCAATCGCGATACAGTACATTCAGTAGAGAGTTACTAGCGATTTACTTGGCTACCAAGCATTTAAGATATATGGTTGAAGGGTGCGCATTTATAACATTCACTGACCATAAGCCACTCACGAAAGCAATTGAAACAAAGCATGGCAGCTACTCACATCGAGAAATCCAACATTAAGAATTTATTTCACAATTCACTTCAGATATAAGGTTGTGTGTGTGTGTGTGTAGTGTAGTGTAGTGTATCTGGAAGCGTATATAAATTTGGGGTCATATTTCAGAGCTCGACACGGTAATATGCAACCAGTCAAGTAGTGTGACGAAAGACTGATAAAACTGAAGAACTGTTTGACTTTAACCTTAAAAGATATCATGGTAGTTAAACTGAAGGTTTCAGACAAAGTCATGAGTTATATTAAGACTAGTGATCAGAATTCTAGTTACTGTACCGATAGATAACAGGAAGTTGTACTCAAAAGCATATTCAATAAAACTCAATGCCCAGTTCATTGAATGATAAAATTTAGATAAAGCAAAAAGATGTCCCAGCCAACTAATTACAAACTGACAGTTGATAATTTCATGGTGATTAATAATTGCTAAGATGAATGCACTGATCAGCCCATCTAAAATGATGTTGTAGGCGAATATTCACTTCATTTCAGGTTCCACTTCGGAATGGTAGACCGGGAACCCCGAACAATGTGATATAATAATTGGAATGAGGAAAATGTGTGAATTTTATCTAAGCTACTGCAAACAAGTATCAGCCCCAACATTAGGAATCTACAACCATTGATTTCCTTTCTGCGTCACAGAAATTTACACATTTTTAGTTCGATTCAAACCAATAGTCAGAGACTTGGTGAACTGATGCCATATTTTAGTCTGGTTGCCTTTAATTTGCTACAGTCTGGCCCTAATTTGATTAACAAAGCTCATCATGATAGACAGTGATTAGACATGGACAACGTATGGCCCAGCTTCTTCGGCTGACAAAGGTTCGTAACCTCGTCAACCAGCTCAACTCTCTAGCAGCTAAGGTGACTTACTCACAATCAACTTATAAAATGGCCGAATTTTAACTGGATTCGTAAGGACATACTTGAGGAGACTTATCCAGTAGCATTCCTTTTCAACTTAGCGTCAACGTATTTCCCATTTGTTCTCAGAATAATAATCTCGATAACGCATTTAGGTGAACGGTAATGGAAATGACCGCTGAACTGTGTGAACAGTAAGCCATTGTTAACACCAATGAGTCGGTTTTCCGAACTAAATCAGAGAGATCTCACAGTTAAGTGACCATTATACTTTTTTGAAGTCAAGTCCATCACATACTTAGGGAGTTTGGATCAAACAGTTGGTTTTTCTTGAATACAACTAACTGTCTTAAACAGAAGAGTAAGCTAGATGGCAGATGAAAAAGTCGTATTTAATTTTAAAGCAGCACGATTTGCAGCAAACGCTTTTTACGTTTACGGCACTTTTTCTTCAAAGATTACAAACGTTGGTACTGAGAAGTTCCAACTGGACTCCTTGTTGAAACTGCAGTTTAGTGATCGAGAAACTACCTACCTGTGAGAAATCTAGACACAGACAGTGCAATGTGCAAACAAAACTGTAGATGAATCACCAAACTTTAGGGAAAGAAACTTGAGGAGTTGAACGATAATTAGTTAGAACTCAAATAGCACGGAAATTTGACACAGGAATTAAGGAGATGCCTTATCTCTTATAGTAAAAGTACCTAAAACATTTTTACTCTAAATCTTATTTTTGTCAAAACATGGTGTACTCCAACGTCGTAACAAAAAGCAGATAAACCGCTTACCTCTTGGCTTACATTTTAGTCCCAATTCAAATCCTATTGAACATATTATTTAATAGGAATATTTACCAACTTAAGTAAAATGAAGCTCATGTAAATTTCATCTTAATAATGAATAGTTTATGCATAAAAAAATGAACTTACAGATGCGCAAACTGCAAATAGGGTCAAATGAAAACGCATTTCTCAGTACAGATGGTGCTAAAGTGAAGTTTTGCTTCGTAATAACCACAAGGTACAAATTCTGGATGACTGATAAATAGGAAAGAGTTTAGACATTTAAATATGCATTTTACAGGAAACGAATAAACTGTTTTGCCCACCGTATAGACGGATAACAATGCTGACTAGTATACACTGCTATGCGTACGCACCACAGTGATATGAATACCAGTCAGTGATTGGTTGTTGGATCTTTCCCCTTTATTTAGGATATGTGCATTTAAAAAACTTATGGGTGATTTATTGATTAAATGTGTACATACCATACATAGGTGCGCGCCAAATCGAACAACAGGATCAGAAGCTCGGGGATGAAATGATCATTTTTGGACAAATATTCACATCTATCATCTGTAATGACATTTACGAACAGCAAAGATAAAAGTGAATAATAATAATAATAATTTCCACCACAGACACATTTTTAATAATTTTTGTGGCAGTAAATTTTCAAGAGAAGTTTTGAGCATTATTACTTTATACAATACGAATTAAAATATGATTTTCCTGTTTCAGGAATTGCCCTTAAGAAAATTTGACTGATCCAAAGGTCAGTCACTAACTCTTCGTACTTGTAATATACCCGCGAGTGCAACAGCAAAACACAACAAAACAGCCAGGTAGGAATGATAGATTTGATAAACCGTGACATAATACCGATGTGTTTGACTAACTAGCTAGAGGATGGTGTAAGAGCACCTCAACGTAACAGTATGACATGCCAAATAGCATGAATATTTGATTGAATGTTCTTCTAGCTTAACCAGCTGGTTAAAACTATGAAGGTTAGTATCAGTGTTTATACTCTTCGAACCCTAGGCTATTTATTTTGGAGAATTATTTGCCACTACACTGTATTATTTATACAACATCTTAGAAGCCCAACCAGTTTAAAATAAAAAACAGCTGAGAGTTGGATGGCATTCTTCAAGTTTTCATCTCCATTGGAAACAATTCATTCATTAATTTTGCATTTTCCACTGACTGTGGAGCAAAACAAAATTGTTATAGCTAACGTTTCTCCACTAAGTACGAAAAATTTATGGTATACGAGAATTTGCAATATACACGCTTATATATGATGACTTGATTTAAGTTTCTCTGTATGGATGATTTTGTGTTGTCAAATTATTGAGAAAGATGACAATATGTAGCGTGTTAACTGTGATGAGTGTATTAGTTGAAGGGCGAGTTTTCCGCTTTCAGATGAGACGAAACTGGCCTCCTGGTTTCCAATGTCGGCTGCCAGCAAGCAAATTATATTTGTTTGTAGTTCTTATCACATATGTGTTGATTACGTGAGTGTGCTAGTGAGTGGAAACCAGACAAGCTGTTTCATTTTCTCATTTCTATGTAGACAAATCTGGCTCCACTTTATGTAACTAACGTCAGTTAGAATAAGCTTGTTTTGCTTTATATTCATTGAAAAATACAAATACCAAAAGGATAAATATCACTTATCCGACTCCCAAATTTTTTCTAAACATCCGAATTTCAGCTGGATTTGGATATCAATTAATTGAACTGCAATATCTGCATCCTTCGCACCTACAAATAATGCAGGGCAAAAGAAAAAGGAGGAATTCTAGAGACAACTTCAGTCAAAAGCTGGACAAGACCTCAGTTAGCGATATCAAAAACTCATTCTAATGGGCAACATGAATGCGAAACTGGGAGTGGACAACACAGGAAGAGAACTAACCGTGGTCGAGAAGCACTAGGTGAGGTGATAAACGAGAATGGAATTCTGTACATTCAAAGATTTGGTGGTTGGAGGCACTGTGTTCAAGCATAAGGATATTGACAAAGCCACATGGATTTCACCAGATGGACATACTACACCGAAAATCAGACTGACTTCACCTCAATCTCAAGAAAGTGGAGACGCAGTCAGCCTACTTGACACGAGGTCAAGAAGAGGAGCAGATGTAGGCTCAGACCACTCACTGTCTAGTTCTAGGAACCCACCTTCCAAATCAAGTTGAAAGCCTTCGTAGAAGTTGGTGATAGACCACAGTTCAAGTACAACAACCAGAACAGAAACTGAACTGAAGGATGAAACTACAAAGGAAATCTTCACGTCAGTTAGCCATCAAGACAAAATGGGAGATATTGAGGGACATCCCTGAAGAAACGTGTATGGATGAGCACTGGAACTCTTTGAAAGCTATGTGGAAAGAAACCTGCATAACCGTATTAGTAGGGAAGAGGAAAGAAGGTAAGGAATGGATCTCGATGGACACATGGAGGCTGATAGAGGAGAGGAGGATGGTGATGGTGAAGTAGAAGATAAACCAGTGCAGTGTAAGGTTGCACAACAGAAAGAGGAACTGAACACAATCTATAAAACACTTGACAAATAAGTGAAGAAGAGTGCGTGGAAAGACAAAAGACACTGCCACAACACAATTGCAAGTGAAGCAGAACAGGCTGGAGGTAGGAGAGACAGAGACCTGACAACATTGTATCAAATAACCAGGTTGCTATCTGTCAGATAAGAGATCAACACAGATGGAACCAATAGAAGATAATGAAGGAAATCTAATCACAGAAGAAGGGAAATAAAGGAAACAATGGGCTGACCACTTCAAAAAGCTCTTGAATCGACCACCACCACCTGCACTTCGTCCACAAATTCCACCTACAGCCCAGTCACAGAACCACAAGTGAACACAAATCCTCCAACAAAAGTAGAAGTCCTGAACTCCATAAAGCTACTGAAATGTGAGAAAGCAGCAGGACCAGATGGAATCCTGTCAGAAGCACTGAGAACAGATGCAGAGGCATCAGTGGACATGCTCACACCACTACTGCAGAAGGTGTGGAAGGAAGGGAAGGTACCTGGCTAGTGATTGGGAGAAGGACTGCCTTGCCAAACTCCCGAAGAAGGGCGACCTCAGTGTTTGCAAGAACTGGTGCGGAATCAGTCTCCTGTCCACCCAGAGCAAGCAAAATATTAAGCCGCATCATCCCGGAGAGACTAAAGGATGCATTGGATTCAAAACTACGACCGGAACAGGCTGACTAGCTGGATTCAGGAAGTACAAATCATGTGCTGATCAAATTGCAACTGTTCACATCATCATAGAACAGAGTATAGAATGGCAGTCAACTCAACTCTACCTCAACTTCATCGACTTTGAAAAGGCCTTTGACAGCGTCGACCGAGAAGTAATTTGGAAACTGCTTCATTACTACGGAGTACCGCAAACCTTTATCAGCCTCATTCAACAACTATATGAAGACGCCACATGCCAAGTAATTCACAATGGGAAGCTCAGTGATGCGTTTGAAGTGAAGTGAAGACAGGAGTGAAGCAAGGCTGTCTACTATCATCCATGATATTCCTGATTGTGGTGGACTGGATCATGCAGCAAACAGTGGGGAGCTGGGAGAAGAGGGGGATACGCTGGGCCGGGGAAAAGAACCCAGAAGATCTGGATTTCGCCAATGACTTGTGTCTGATGTCGCACAGACTTGAAGATCTGTAGGCGAAAACTAACAAGTTGACAGAAGAGGCAGGGCAGGGCAGGACAGGGCAGCGAAGACGAGACTTCAAGTGAACATAGAGAAGACAGAGGTGATGAAGATGCCCAACTAACACCATCACCAGCAACAAGCTCCAGTCATCATCAACGTGAGAAACGTAAAGGAAATAGCTTCTTTCATGTATCTAGGTAGAACCGTTTCAACTACCAGGGGGCGGTGGTACAGACGAGGACGTCAAAGTTAGGATCGGAAAAGCAAGACAGGCGTTCATTAGCCTGAAATTAGTGTGGAGATCTTCTGCACTCAGCATAAAGCGTGAACAACATCCGGATTCTCAACACCAACGTCAATTCAGTGCTTCCATGTGATGGTTCAGAGACTTGGCACGTTACGAAAGAGATTTCCAACAAACTACAGATATTCATCAACAACTGCCGCCTACGCTCCCTCAATACCGAAGACCAGATGGCCAGAATAGTAAAATCAGCAACAAGGAGCTCTGGCAACGAACCAACTAAGAACCTATCACCCAACAAATATGCAGAAGGAAGTAGAGACGGATTGGATTGGGCATACACTGAGAAGGCCATCGGACACATCATGCGCCAGGTCAGGCCCTCGAGTGGAACCCCTATGGGAAGCGACGAGTTGGGCGTCCGAGGTGAGGGTGGCATGGAGGAGATCGTGCGAGGAGGAAATGAGAGCTTCTGGGCTGTCGTGGAGCCAGGTTCAAAAGATTTCAGAGAACAGAGTTCACTGGAGACGTGCTACTGAAGCCCTATGTTCCACTAGGAACCCAAGGGACTAATAATAATAATAATAATAATAATAATAATAATAATAATAATAATAATAATAATCTGTATCCTTGCCACTGAACAACAATGATTACCATCAAATGTGAACTTGAGACCTTCAAATCCTGCAGCCTTTCTTTACTGTCAATGGACTTTTGTATCCTATGATTTACTGATTTGAATCCTGGCATAATCTAGGTCTTCCTTTCACTAAAAGTTGCGACTTCATCATATTACTGTGTTGCAGAAACTAAGGCTATCTCATATAGTCTGAACAATAACTAAATGCGTGCTTTCTCGTCTTCTGGAAATATGAATGAATCGGGTTCGGTATTTGAAAAACAACAAAAAAATATTCATTTCTTTTTGCACGGTGTTACCTTAAGGCAGAAAATGTTTCATTTCACTATAATTAAACAAAACTATAGGTTTTGAAGTGCTTCATGATCATCAAGAAGCAGTTTTCTGGTATTCTGTGAGTCTCAGTTTCCTTTTTGGTCCACTAGTTAAAGATGTAGTAAGGTAGCTACATTTGTTACTGCTAAATGGAAGGTTCGTGTGCATAATTTTGTTATAAAAGAGGTTGGCCATGAGCTAAATAGTTTATTTGAAAATTCCCTTACTTCAGTAATAATTGGTTGGGGTATGAGTCTTCGAAAAAGCATCATTGTTTTG